AAGACAAAAAGGATGTTATTGTTCATGTCACGCACGTTCATAATATCATCCCCTGCAATCAAATGATTTCAGTGACATTGGGAGGATTTCCGTTACGAGATTTGACACTGGGATTCCTCGTGAGGATGTCGAGAGTGCGTTGAGAGAACATTTCGCTTCATGTGGAAAGATCACTGATGTTTACATACGAAAAGGGTCGTCTGTTGCTTATATTTATTTCGTGGGAGAGGGTGCAGTAGACAAGGCCTTGGAACTTAGTGGAAGTGACGTGGGAGGATGGAATGTCTGTGCTGAGGCTTATCCGTTTTGGGACAACAAGTAAACTGATTTTTTATTATTATATTATTTTGGAGATTTGTGCCTTTTAGATGTGTTCTTGCATGTGTTGACGATATATATATATATCATCGATTGCAGTGGTACTATGTTTACTGTTCTAGGATTTGACCCTTCGCTTCTTGATTCTGAGATTGAGAGGGCGTTGCGTGAACATTTCTCTTCATGTGGAGTGGTCACGGAAGTCACTATCTTCAAGAAGCGGTTTGTGACTTCTTCCTCGTACCAATTTTTCCCAACTTTCAAGTTATTGAATGCTCACTAAAGACTTGTCTTTCTTACAGAGCATCTGTGGCCTTGGAACTTAGTGGAAGCAAACTTGTTAGGTGTCTTAGTAGGCCACCAAGATACACTGTCCACGATCGTCGTGGACCTCCCTTTGATTCTCGAACACGGATAAATTTGTTCTTGATTCTTGATATTTCTTTCTACTCATTTCAATTTATTAGTTAAGAAAATGTGTGAATAAAAATGATAATGATTCATCAGGGTCGTGGGAGGACTGGAGATAGTAGAGCATGAATATCATTACCTCAAGAAGATGATGAATGAACTCTTCCAGCCAGGTACTTGCTTTAGTTAATTACACTCACAACAACATTTCATATGATCATTTTGTAATCCTTGTAAATCAAGTAGTATATATTTTGTTAATGATTAATAATGTTGTGGGATTTTATTTGAATGGTTGCAGCAGGAGCAGCAGCGGGTAGTAATTATTTTCTTTTTGTCATCCAAATTTCCGATAAGGAGAAAGCTAATTAGTGCGTATTGATAGTGTATTACTTCTTGATAAATTTAACGTATGAGATTTACCCATCTCAGTAAAATTTCATATACACGAATCGTACAGAAACATTGACTAAAGCAATTGGGCTATGTGCGACAAAAAGAAGAAACTGGGCCCACAAATCTTGGGATGTAAGTAAACGTGGACATGTGTTTGCTTAGTCTTGTACTAATAGTGTAGAAACCGAGTAAGAAAAGGACACGTGTACTTTATCCATCACCACTTCCACGTCTCTTGTTCCTAGATTATAAAATTAATTAATAAAAATTAAAAAATGATACTTTGCTCTAACCCAACGGACATTGTATGTGTATAGTATATAATTGCAATGAGATAGATCTTTCTGTCGGTGAAAAGCAAAGTAAATTTTGTAGCAAGCAATGAATGCTCTGCCACAAGACTGCATCGCCAAGATCCTTTCTTTAACATCGCCTCGTGACGTGTGCCGATCATCGGCCGTCTCCACGATCTTCAGATCCGCCGCAGATTCCGATGATGTCTGGAATCAGTTCTTACCTTCCGATTTCCCCGACGGATTTGTAGCACCGGAAGGTCTTCCGACAAGGAAACGCCTCTTCTTCTCCCTTGTCGATAACCCTCTTCTTCTCCACGATGCTCAATTGGTAACCTTCTTCTTCTTATTCCCGGGATCAATTGCGATTTTAACGATCTCTGGATCGGAGCCGATTTCCAAGCTGTGTAGTCTAGAAATTACACTAGTCCACTCTTAGTCAAAGTTTTGTCAAGAGCGAAAGCGATGAGCTTTGATAATCATAGTCGAACCGAAATTAGATCTGATTAGGTTTTAGCTCCCAAATTGCAAATTAAAGGTCTGTTCAGGCAAAAGCTTGCCACAGTTTGTCTTGAGTTGTGTCTGTGAATCATGCGACTAGTCGAACTCCTAAAATCTGTGAAATCAATCTTTTGGGTCTAAACAAGGAGATCATTTTATGGTATAAGCTCTTCAAGAATGAATGTTAGAAAGTCTTTGATATCTCATATTCTGACTGCATTATTATGTAATGAAAAAAAAAAACAGAGCTTTTCTCTGGAGAGAACGAGTGGTAAGAAATGCTACATGATTGCACCAAGGGCCTTGAGTATTGTTTGGGGAGATGACCGAAGGTACTGGCAATGGATCTCTCTGCCTAATACCAGGTATATATTAGCTTCCTTGTCTTGTCTCTAGAACTGAAACCTCAAACTTCTTGTGCATTGTGAGATATGCTAATGATGTTCATGGGTGCATAAAACAGGTTCGCACAAGTGGCTGAGCTGATCTTTGTGTGGTGGTTTGACATCACTGGAAAGATCAACATAACCCTTCTCTCTGATGAAACCCTCTACGCCGCTTACCTTGTCTTTAAGTGGAATGATAGTCCATACGGTTTTCGCGAGCCCGTAGAGGCTTCCCTTGTCTTGGATGGCACTGAGACCGATGATGTTCAGCCTTCTATGGTGAGTCTGATGCAAAACCCGGGAAGCGAAGAAGGTCAGCGTGCTGAGCTGAGGAGAGATGGTTGGTTCGAGGTCGAGTTGGGACAGTTCTTCAAAAGGAGAGGAGATATGGGTGAAATAAAGATGAGCCTCAAGGAGACTAAGAGACCATTTGAGAAAAAAGGCCTCATTCTTCATGGAATCGAGATTAGGCCAATGCCTTAAATCCTCTTGCAGTTTTTAAATTTTTTTAATTCTCAATGTTGTGTTTCTCTTTAGTACTGATGCTGAAAATGTAAGCTTTTGTCAATGTTTTGGTTTGATTGCTCCTTTCTTTGTTTTATATGACAATAAATTTGAGAAAATTGAGTGCATTATCCTCATAGTCGTGGTGGAGGTTTGAGACCGACCTTATCAACCCATTTTACTCAATCGAGTCAGATCGAGTGTTGGACTTATACATCCCAAAATTAGCTAGAATTAGATATTTCTTTATTGAACAAACTGAAATTCAGGTGTCCTTTTGACCTAACTAGATATTTCAGCAAAATATCCCTTGCCCAAAAAAAAATATCAAGAAAATATCCCTAACCTAATCCGTTCTCTTTCGTTTACTACTACTAACATTCACTAATATAGCTAGCAAATGGATAGCATTTTCACAAAATAAATAATACATAATTGAATGTGATCATTCTTCCATTGCTATTCTCTGGGCATTGGCCTAATCTTGAATCCATTTTTCTCAGCTCAGCGCACTGACCTTCGTCATTCCTCTGCGATTTATATGTTTGCCGAAACAGTATGAAATTTAATAAATATTCCAATGCTAAAAAAAAAAAATTGGAATCGAATTATATGAAAGGATAAATCCAATAAATATACAGAGTGTAACAGCTACCAAGTGATGTATAAATTATACTGGTCAATCAAAAAGCTCTTTACGATCAAATAATCAGATAGTTTGAAGTTCTTCATAATCCATGATTGTGGTTAAATTTAAGGTCACTAAATCATTTTCATACAACAAACAAAATTTTAAAAATAATGCTAGTTCTGTAATATTTTATGAGATCGTTAGGATTATGGTTGCCTTCAATGTTGTAGTGGGAATCATTTTTTTTTTCCCATACGGACCACTTGATGGGTCTATGTGAAACCACGCAAATAGATATATACAAAACATATGTGTATTATTATAACACTCATGGGAAATACCACATTTTCCACAGTTTTAATTCGTTTCCGTTTGAGGACCAATTTCAAAAGGAAGTTGAGTACTATTCTATTGACTATCTAGCTGGTCGTGGGCCTCTCAATGGTACATGAATTGCATGTAAGGTTCATATTATATTATATATAGAAATGAAATAATAGAGAATATGGAAATGTCAAGATATGAAAAGATTTCATCGAGATGATGCATTTCAGTGAGTCCACTCTTTTCAAATCCACCAACACTTAGCTACTTTATTACAATGTTAAACGTTCTAAAAATTGAGAAATCAGTTAGTTATAACTAATTGTAAAGAGGAATCAATGATTTGTAATTTTTATGCATACACACGATTATATGCTTTTATTTTAAAATACTAAAGATTCTTTAATAACGAAAGTACCCTTTTGATCTGTACTGACTGTATAATCGTTGTATAATATGTATGGAATAATGTTAGAATCGGAAAAAGGAGAGAAGGAGAAACAGTGATCGGAAAGCGACCAGTAATGTGAGGTTATAATGTTGCCCAAGACAGTCTAACAAGAATCTTGAAAAGTACACACGAATATATGTAATCACTAATAAGTAATAACAAACCAAAATTATTAGACGTGGGTTGGTATTATTAATGAGAAATTACCTATTTTTTTGCTAAAATATGCGTCTCAATGGTCACGCTATAGTTTTGATAATAGTAGTCATCAACGTTGATAATCAACTATGTGGGCCTTATGGCTACGTACTTTTTACGGTAATAAATAAACTACAAACTGCTTCACCCAAACTCGTTTAAAAATGAACTTTATACGTATAACCAAATCGAAAGAACACAAGATAAGTAATTCTTGTTAGTATCGGCAAAAGAATAGAAACAACGATTGGAAAGCAACAAGTAATTCATGAATCTACTAGAACTATGTACGAGCTTTTAATTCTTCAGACGAAAAAGAACAGTCAAAAACCAAAGCAAACCAGAAGATTTGTGTGAATAGAACGTTTCATTGATTTACACATAAGAACAATAAGAGAAAGAAGAAATCACCTATTACCAGAAGCACACGAGAATGAGAAAGACGAATCTTTTGCCCTTGAATATACCAGCACCATGTACAACATTTTAGTCTGAAATCTATAACGAAAAAGAGCAATTTCCATGCTAAGAAACCATTTCTTCAAACGACTATTGCTTAGATCTAAAAGAATAGGAATCATAAGTACCAACAATTCCTTATAAATGGTGTCATTTTTAAGGAATTGAGAGGAATTCAACGTTTAGAGCCTTAATGTGTTTCTTTTGTTCTAAACAAATAAAGTAATATGTTTAATTTCTCAATTGATAAAATACTTTGAGTTTACCAAAACAATTATATGCACAAACTTGATACAAATGATAAGAAAATGAAAACAAAACTTTCATAATAAACGAGCATAGTTACGTATTAACGGTATATTTTTGTGTCTTCAAATACATTATCTTGACTAGCACATCTGTTAAATTCCTTGACTGTTATATGTGTTGCCATATTTTGTCTATCTTTCCATGGATTTTCAACTGTAAATTCATCTACCGTAGACAGAATTTGTTTTCTCTGAAGTTCCACTTCATTTTGAAAATTTATTTGGAAAAACTTTAATCTTCCCTTTAATACCTATAATTATATACATACGAATATAAATATAAACAAATTTAAAAAACGATAATGAAAGCAAACAAAACCTAGGCAGTCTTGGCAATGCGTCCAGATCTTCGAGGAGATTTGAGTGTCCTCTTTCTGTATATATTTTTATTTACATTGATAGACATCTGCAAATACTTTACCAGCAGCTTTTCTATATGTTTTCTTATTTACAATTTATAGGCAGAGTTATTAATCTTCTTCTTCCTTTTAATTTTGTCAGGGAAACATGACAGTATACCAACAAGACAAGGTGTAGGTTATCGCGTACAGTGAGGATGTTTCGTCGATGTGGAACTTCATGATTGAGTCACGACTTGAGATAGTCGGACCTCTTGCAGTTTCGATTGTTTTCTTCCCTAGCTACAACAACCAGGATTTAAACGGAGTGGCACTTGCACCTACACCCGCATATATGGCAGCATATATAGCTAACCGTATAGTATACCAAGTTCACACCATGCTCTTAGCTGGACATGGTGTTGACGAGAATGGCAATGCGTTTTGGGAGGTGCAGGACGACTCTGAGAACATAAACAACGGAGATTGCGGGTATCTCCGCTTTTCCCAAGAGTTGTTAATATTGGGCAGCTTAATCGTGGAGTATATCGAAATAGTTCTACGTGGTTGACAGGTAAAACGTCTTCTCAAATTAGGATATGAGTGTTCTAGTATGTCAAAATCTAAGACGATTTAAGCAAATCTAGAATCTAGAACAGTGAACGATATCAAGGAGTGTTTTCGGAAGATCTGGACGCATAGGCTCGTCACGATATTCTAACCCGACATGGTTTCATTATGTTGTAATAGTAGAATCCGATTTAAAGTTCAGGATGAACCATATATAACTTTTAATTAACTATATCTACCATTTGTTACAGAACACAGATACAGTGCTCAATTCTCAAAGTTTAATTAACAAAATATTCTACAAGATGTGAGGTTATAATGTTGCCCAAGACGGTACAACAAAAATCTTGAAAAGTAGACACGAATATATGTAATCACTAATAACAAACCCAAAATTATTAGACGTGGGTTGGTATTTTTAATGAGGAATGGCCTATTTTTTTGCTATAAATTATGCGTCTCAATGGTCACGCTATAGTTTGATAATACTCCCTAGCATTCAACGTCGATATTTGTAAATAACTATGTGGGCCTGTGGCTACGTAATTTTTACGGTCATAAATAAACTACAAACTCGCTTCACCCAAAAACTTTTTTAAAATGAACTTTATACGTATAACCAAATCGAAAAAAACACTAGTATTGTTTTAAATACGAATTCATATCCTTTCTTACATTTGATGTGTTACTAGGTAAAGTGAAGCGAATCTACTTACTTGACTACTTTTTGATACACACTGAAGCGATGAGTCAGCACCACGTGTCAAATTAGCATTTGTTTAAACTGTAAAATTCTTCCATGAGATTCCCTCCGTGTCGTCTTCCCTTTATAAATCTTGCACTCGTTATCTTCCTTTTCCCCAACCTTCACTTTTCTCCCTCCGATCTCTCTAATAAGTAAACTCAAAAACCTCTCTAGTAATAAAAGCTTTTAAAAC